CGGTGGACAGTCCAAGATTGGGCGCAGGCGTTGGGAAGATGTGCTGGCATGCCAGGGCATCTCCTTTTCGACAGTGAGAGCATCAAGGTGACCAAGCAAGAGGAGGCGCAATTTGTGGAGCTGTTCAAGACCGGGAGGTCTACCAAGAATGGGTACAGGACCCGTGATTACAAGGATCGATTTCGCCGGACTTTGTCCGCGGCGCTGATGCAATTACTGCAGCCGCACCGCGCCTGCTACATCACATTGTGGCAGGTCTCTTTTGTGGAGTGCGTCATCGAGGGAACTCCAATTCACTGGGCGAGCATCCTGCACAGGGTGATGCGACAGCACGCGTTTGAGGAGAAGGGGGGAACTCTAAACCATCTTTCTCCTTTCCTCATCAATTTTTATCGACAGCGGAATTGTTTGACAGCGGCGGAGCTTGAACATTTTCAGCCATTGTCCATCGACCATCCCGGGAAGTATGTGCGGGAGAACGAGGTCGATACTGACGCAGAGGAGTCCCCGACTTCTACCCCATCAAGACGGAGAGACGAAGGGAGACACACCCCTGCAGCGCGAGTGCCGCGGAAGCGGCGATGGAGGGAAGAGTCTGAAGAGGAGCAGCATCAAGAACCCTCTGCTCCCGTTCGACCGCGGCCGCTGTGCGAGCCATACAGCCGGCCGAAGCAGAAGGCACGCAGACTGGTGTTACCAGCTGACAGTGCAGACACGGCGACGATTGCGACGGAGATAGGAAGTGCGTCGCCAGAGAGGCGAGAGGAAGCGCGGACGACCGCAGGAGCAACGGGCCACGCTGCAACCTCGTCGGGAGAGAGGCCGCCTACGGGCCAAGGGCCTCCGGAGTTACCACGTGCGATGCGGACAGATGTTCCGTTTGCGCACAGGCGAACCTCCGCGGACGGACGAGCCTCCGCGGATCGGCGAACACAAGTGGACGTGGATCTACGCTTACGCGTGGGAAGGAGCAGTCCGCCTGTGCACAGGCGCTCACCTGTGCACAGGTCGCCTGTGCACAGGACACCTCCACACGTGCCGCCTGTGCACAGGCAAGAATCACCCCCGTTCCAACGTAGGAAGGGGAAGGAGCCGGCGGAAGAACCGCCTACGAGACACCGGCCCTCGGGGCCAGACCCTCCGGCGCACCACGCGCCGCAATTTGCGCCTTCGGCGCCAGGGCCTTCGAGCCGAGGAGATACGAGCAGAGAGCGTGCGGAGGCCGCACCATCGGCGGGAAGTCCGCCGATAGATGCGCCTTCGGCGGTAGGGCCTATAGGCCAAGGAACATCGGGCGTGCGGCCCCCGGCCATGTCGCCTTCGGCGATAGATGTCCGCGGCGCTACGCCTGCGGCGGACAAGGCGCCGGCAAATGCGCCTGCGCACGGGCCGGGCACGGCCCCCACAGACCGATCAAGGGAGCAGCAGGCGGAGGAGCGGAGTGACTGTCCGCGGGATGAAATCTCGATGCGCGATGCGCAATCCAACCCAGCGCAGCCACCCTCCGCTCAATCGCCTTCGGCGACGGACGACGGCGACAGAGAGAATGCGGTAGGCAATCAACCAGCGAGCGACGGGGATGCCGCTCGGATACATTCGCCTTCCGCCTTAGACATTTTGGCGACGAGCAGCGAGGCTGCAGCCGTGCCTTCGCAGGCAGCACACGTCGAGGACGTGCAGCCCCACTCGGGGCAGTCGCCGACGCAATCAATGGCGACTGAAATTCTCCACTCGGATGATGACGACGGAGGCTCCACGGAAGAAATGTCAGGAGCAGAAGACACCGAGGAGGAGGAGGAGGAAATTGTTGGAGCGCCGGCAGCGGCGCTCTCTGAGCAGGTGATTCCGTTGCTGCGGTACTTGGATCGCAAGGTCGATAAATACGCCGACCCACTCCAGCCGGGATCTTACATCGAGTTAGTGCGCAGGCGGACTCGCACTAAAGTCCACACCAGCAAGCTATTAGCTAGAGTGGACCAGGAGTTGAGGGACTTGAAGGAGAAGCATGAGTGCTTGTGGGGACAGTACAAGCTTAATCAGAAGTTCTACAAGCACACCGAGAAGATGAAGGATGAAAAACTGGGCGAGCTCACCAAGGAGCAGGTGAAGGTCAAGGAAGCACTCAACTCTGAGCAGGCCCAGAATCGGATTTTGTCAGAGGAGCTCGTGCGACAGACGAGGTTGTTGGAACAATGTCAGCTCGCACGGCAGGCGGATGAAGAGTTAATCCGCAGGTTGCAGTCAGAGTGTGGCGAATTGAGAGCGCAACGTGCTGAAGCCGAATCGCAATTAGTGATAATTGAAGAGGATCGCAGGAAGGAGGCGGATCGCACGAAGGTGGAGGCGGCGAGGCGAGTCGCCCACTGTCTCAAGGGCTACGCCCACTGGGAAGTGAAGGCGCAGGAGAAACTCACACTGCGTGAGTTTGAATTGCGCGCAGCCGGGTTGTTGTCAGGCGACAGTAGGAGTCGGCGGAAGGTAGCGAAGAAGCTCGAGGCCTTTCTGTCGAAGGCACAGGATACCATGTCCGCCCTCGAGGGGGAGGTGTCCGCGGCGTTGCAGCGGTTGGGACTGCGCAGTCGAGCGGAAGAGTGGCAGGGTAGGGAGTTAGTGCGCGGCAGTCGGCCGCGCAGGAGACGTAGTACAGGTTCCGCGGAGTGTAGTGTAGCGTGGTTCCGTGCAGGCGTGTAGCGTAGTGCAGTGTAGTGCTAGGTAGGACTTAGAAGGTATAAAATAGTTCCAGGCGTTTTGCCTGGGGTTCTTTCCCATCAGAAGTGCAGATCAGGAACCCATTTCCTTTGCGTGTTTGTGTCCTTGAGTTCTGTCACCACGCACGAGGAGTTACAACTTAGCGTTCCGCATTTTGTAGCTGAAGGCCTTCGGCCGAATGTTCAGAGCTAGTACATTGGTTAGAGACTTGAGTAGTTCGGAACTGCACCTGCGGGTGACTGCCGATGCTCAGAGCCAGTGACTAGTTAGATACTTGAACAGTTTCGCCCCTACACCTTCGAGTGTTTCTTTCTGATTGTACTCCTTGGGATTTTTCCCCTGAATGCCAAAGTGAAGTTTTGCTACTTCGTGTAAGCCTTGGTTGTAAATTCAGGTTACGCTGCAGCTGGTGCCTTGAGGGTAACCCCTGTAGTATTTCTGGGAATGACAAGTGCCTGAGAATTCAAACTCTTCAATAGACTGTTGTTGTGTTACTGGAATGTTTCACAGTGAGTCCTTCAGTGTGGACCTGTGTTCTCTGCGCGTTTTGTGAGTTGAGAGTGTTGTTCACCGCGTATGAGTGACTTCGATCCGAAGTAGGCAGTCCAAACCGGGTTTCCTACGCTAGCAGCAAGCTAGTGGAAGCGTTGTAAAAGCCGGAGTTGGAAGTCACTGCCCGCAGCTTTGCCGAGTGTGCTCGTGAGAGACTTTCCCCCTGAAATCTTGAAGTAGAGGTCCTAACGGATCTCTGGGTTGTGTTTCTGTAGTTTCAGGTGTGTGTGTGTGTGTGTTACGCTGCACTGTGCGACCTCCGAGTGCGCTCCGAGTGGACACTTGCAGTATTTCTGGGAGTGATAGTCGCCTGAGAATTCAAACTCCTCAATAGTCTGTTAAAACGTGACACTTTGTACCCTGTGTGTTCCTCTGTCCCTGTGGGTTCGACCTTTCTACCACTATATTGCAGTTTTAGCCTTTAGTGGGTTATTACACAATGTTATGAGTATAGGCATATGAAGGTTGACAAAGTCCCCTTAATTTGCGGTTCCCCTCCAATTTGATGATGGTCACACGCTATCTCAAACTGTAACTCCAGGTGAGGGTGAGGGATAATCCAAATGAATGTTTCACCAGGAGTATGACCTCAAGATATACTGGAATGTAGGGAGTGCCAGCAGCCGAAGTGATAGTTTCTTTCGCAGTAGAAGCTCCATGTGCCAGATATTTTTCCTCTCTCTTCTCGCAGAAGGGGAACCCTGCATTATATCTTTTTTGTCTACTTGGGTGTGAGCAAATTTGCACGAATTGATACATTCGCGAGACACAATTGATTATATTTCATAAACACTACTACCACAAGACATTCGTAGATCAAACCTTCATCGGACACTACCCTCACGAGAAAAACCTTCGATCAAAAGTCCTCGACATTGTGTACGGAATGTTTTGAGAGTTTCCTTAAGTTCTGCATCGTAGTGTGTTATAACAGCACGCCACTTGGTCACAATACTCCAGACCTGGTGGAAAGTTAAAGGAATGCAGTATGTAGTCTTAGTGCAAATCCACATAATCCGGAGTTACAAAACCAACATTCTGAGATGAAATAAGAAAGATTTGTCCCACACAAAATATTGCTTAAAAATATTTTCAATCCGATATCTAAACAAATAAAGCAGAAGCTTCACCACTTGAGTTCATGGGAACAATAAAAATTCAGTGAAGAGTCACCAGCATCTCATCACGTTGTTGAGTACCCTTACCCAAGTGATGCGATATACATTTTTTCCCCTTGAAAACGACATCCGACCGTTCTTTATTGTTCATCAAAGCTAATTCTTTGCTGCATACTGAAGCGTGAAAACCAACTACTTACGAGTATGTCTTTGACTCCCACAAGTTATGAGTATACAGAAATGTAAATTGTGATCTGCTTCACTTCTATAGCTGTATAATATATTCAATTTTTTCATATTATCTTTGAAGGCTTCAACCGTGTTTGATATTTTGTTTAACAATGAGATGCTAGCATGATTTGAATTTTTTAGAAGGATGAGGAGTCCAATTTGACTAGGGCTAGCGCAAGTGCAATATAATCGGTGCTCTTCGTTCACGCATGTGACAAGAGAAGGGTCCTGAAAGAATGACTACAGCAAAGACTTTGTCAACTATGTTCAAATCAAGTGGGCAAGCAAGATACAGACATACTTATCTCACTCGTGCCAACGTCAGTTAAGTCTGATGATTTAGAAGCAGAGTTTACAGTGACCGCTATTCTGGACGCGAAGATCACATGCATTTTCAAGGTTATTCTGGCACACCAATCTCCTTCATGCTGTTTGATGTCCAACTACATAAGTCACCTCATGGAACAGGCGAACTCTTAGCAAGTCAGTTTCAAGGTCAAAGAGACTGCCAAATATGGAACTGTACTCGCCCAGCCATGAGTATGAGCACTAATTCATCTCAAATTTATATTTTCTAGAAGCTATGGTTTCAAATCTAGTTCTTGCAGCATGCGAGCCCCTCCTTTTTTCTCCGAACCTCCCTTATCCTTGTTGCTATAAATCCTCATAATTGTGCAGTAGAGGATACCATTCGAAAAGCAACATGGCAAGAGGATATCAACAGGGCAAGAAAGCTGCCCAAATTTGAGCTTCACGGAATGGTTTGTATAGACATCGTATCTCAAACAGAATGGAGGCCAAACACATACATGCTTCTCTGCAAGAAACTATACTTCCATGGAATCTAGGTTCATCTAAACAACCAGCTCATCTAAACAAAATCTTAGCATGTAAATATGTTCATGTACATCAGATTGTGTCTGAGTACTTATTGCAGACTACATATTTGTCGATTCAAACCTGTCAGCTTTCATCTACTCCTATCCGTTTTCTATCTAGAGGTGGATCGATGACCCGTTTGAGTTTGGTGACGATAAAATCTACGAAACTCATTATTCCCTAATTCAGACTGGAAATACTGAGCTCAGTGGCATTTGAAGGTGCATGAGTGGTGAGCCTGAGTAACAATACCAAAAGATTTTCTCATTCAGTTGAGCGTTCGATTTGTAGACCATTTTCGAACTCGGCACACCTGCTCAGGGCAACCTCTCGGTGCTGTGAGAGAGTCAAAGACTGGGCCGCTCCTGGCAAGCGTTTGTTGGATGCTGCTCGGCTTCACAAACGTGCCAGACGTTGGAGTTGAGGAGGATGTGTGGAGGTGGTTGACGTCGATTTCGGAGAATGCGGCCGGGGCTGAAATTGTGCCAAAACATCAAAAGCTGGTCGAGACAGAATGTCTGTGATAGCATAGACTCTCTCAATTCTGCAATTCGCCTCCCCAACGAAGCCATAGGAATCAATGGGAGAGGTGGTCTAATGGCAAAAAGGGGGCGCCGTTTTATGCCCGTAGCCACCGCCACTACACCAACGTTCACATGGCATGTCCATGTGCTTGACCGAAGACATGACTTGGGATGAGACGTGACGGCTGACTGCAAGGATCGATGGATAATGAAGGAAGACGAGAACCCCACTGGAAGGATGCAACCCCATGCCTATGCCTCGTGAGCCATGTGGCATCACACGTGGACAGTGATAATAAAAACGGAGAAACAAAGAAAGAGATGTTAGTACTCTGGGTAGTGTTGGAGGCACAACCTCGAAGGTAGGCACTCGGGCGAGGGCACTGGGTATGCCTCATTTTCATTTTTTTATACTAGACATGTGCGTATATATACGAAAATTTATAAATATATTCAACAATTGTAGACGATGGTCCACATCTCGAAACTCACATGTTTGCATTTAATGTGCAAAGGAAGTTTTGATTTCATTGTTATGTTTAGTTCGGGATTGTACACTACACATATACATACATATGTATTCTAATACGAGCAGGCCTGGGGACATGTATTTTGATCTTGAAAGGGGGCATGGGCATGACTCAAAAATTTTGTTGTGCCTCCAACACTGCCTATTTGGTTTGCCAAGAAGATAACGATTAAAACCAAAATGGCGGAACCGAAATATCGTCAAGAAAGAAAGGTAAAGGAAAAACATCATGGGCTCGCAGAAAACTGTAAAGTCAGGGGAACATGAGACGGATGGAAGGAGATAAAATAACATAAAATGCGCGATGAAAACGCCATCGACTGATGTAAAAACACAAAGAACTGAAAATAACTAGCAGAAGCACAAATTCTAAAATCTAAATTCAGGAGAATTAATTGATGACACATATTCATGTTCATAGGAAATCAATTATCTGATATCAATATATTTGGTAAATGTGAGTGTCTTCTTTGCAGATTTGATACTTCTCTCTATACTTCTGCTCCCAGTTTTCAGCTCTTTGTCATCTTTGTAGCTTAACATAGTCACAATCTAGTTTATTCCGACTCGATCTGAAGATTGTGGCATCTCCTATATATATAGTAAGGTTGCCATTTGTTGTGTTCCATAATTATTCAGTGAGTATGGGGTCTACTCCATATTTTACACGGTGAGCAGGACAGAAAAATATAGCCTTGTAAGGGCATCCCAACTTCCCTAGTCCAAAATGACATGATAAAGCGGTTTGGACTAGGGAAGTTGGGATGCATTCCAAAAATCGTTTGATCCGTTCTTTGGGTTCAGAGAATGGACTACCATCCTACTTTGTTCAACATCAACATCCAATATGTTATTCAGCCTCTCTCTCGTGACAAAGCTCAACTAGTTAGTGTACCAAGTTTAGAGGAGTGAATTGAAACAACATATTCCTCAGAATTTTGGATGATTTTGAATTTCATAACTCATGCATCGGATAACCTATTATAAACTAGAGCAAAACGGAGCATGTTAGTTACTTTTAAAAGCTAATAAGTTGGACATGGATTTTTTTGGACATAGAATATTGGATCGTATAATTAACAATGATACATATAAAATTTGCGCCCAATGTAGGGAAATACTGTTTTTGGTAATAAGAGATCCAACAAACTGAAAGTATCAAATAACAAAACATGGACGGTGATAATTTGGTGGCGCACTGGCCGCGCCACAAGGTGCGGTAAAACTCACTCTTAAATCCTGATTTTCATACTAAAACCAAACTCACCCTTACAAGGTGAGTTTCATACTAAAACCAAACTCACCTTGTCAGGGTGAGTTTTAGAGGAGGGAGTTTTAGAGGGGGGACTTTGCACTTGATTACATACAAACACATGACAATCTGCATAATTTTGTGACAGTCCCTGTCCCGACACAAGTTTGAGAAACATTTACACTGTATTGGTATGCGATCATTGACGGAATTACAGGATGTTCGCTAGCCCAGTCGTTCACTATTGCTGTCAACTTTAAACTGAAATTTTTTTCCGAAGGAGGAGACACAAATCTCCATCGGGCACTAATATCACTATCGTTCCTATACTGAACAATGTCTCCTCTTTTTCAAGTAGCACGTGATGTTACTTGATGGATTGCACGGCACTTTGCAGACTATTGAAGCGTTGGTGGTAGTTGACTCCGAATTGCCCCCTCTGCTGCAACGATCGTTCACAGCCCTCGTCGTCATGTCAAACGCACTGATGTTTCGCGATATTAATTAACAAATGCTAAGAAAATGAACACAGTAATGAAGCGAACCTGATAGGAGGGTGAAGTTTTCAATTTCTGCGTTGTTGATTTCTAAGATTATTGTAGGCTGGTTGGGGTATCTCAAGCTAGAGAGTATGCGATAGACTACCGTCAGCTTCACACGAAACGTGATGCATCGGAACTTATCTCCATCTCAGCTCAGAAGAATTTAGAAAAAGAAATCATTCTCAGTTTGGATCATCTATTAAGCTCAGCAAATTATCATTAGCTTGGATGATGAGCAACTAACAGCACAGGGGCTTGTAACTTATTGGAAACACTTCTCAAAGTTACATCAAGGAACAGATGTTTCTTGATGACATAGCTATGACACCTCAACAGTCACATGTTTTCATCTCTTCTTGTCTATTACAGGATGAATTACTCAAAACCTTATTCTATATAGTACCGCACACTGATCTTCAAACAGTAGCTTCAGTTCCACCTCCCTCATGTTCCTCAGTGTGGTGATGTCATATGAAGAGTAAGAATGCATACGAATATCGAGATACACGACAAAACAAAGTTGCGGGCATTGTCAAACAGGCCGCATCTTCAAAACTGATTTCATTGAGGGACTCTAAAACTCAATTCTAATCAAGTTACAAAAGGAGAGAATTACTGATCAAAATTGTACTCTGATACACATTTCATGCGTCAAGATCTTAAGAGGGGAATAACACCCTGATCAAAAATCAAGTAGTCTTATTAAAGGAAAACCTCTGAAGGCAAAGGCAACGAACTGAAGAAGCTAAGCTCCCGAGATAGGAGTAAACGTTCTGAGAGGTGAAGGAGCTAAGACAGCTCTCTCTCTCTCTCTCTCTCTCTCTAATCGACAGACAGACTGAGGGGCACAGTATGCTATCGAATAGGGCGATGGAGAGGTATTTACAGGAGTCTAGCGGATACCGCTGGGGATGAGGGGGAGAGGGAGAGGGAGGGCGCCGAACGGATTCTGTGACTAAGACGGTCTTGACCTGTTAATTTCTGCTGGGCCCCGTTCGAACATCAAAAGTCGAAGAATCAAAGACATGAGACGGAGCGAGTGGAATGAAGTAAGTGACCCGGGATGGAATGAAGGCAGGAGGATATATGCAGTCAAGAAAAGTGTTTTCTGAAATTGATTGTGGCCTGGATGAAACTTAATGGAGGTTGAAATATTGAGATTCCCATCATCATAAGACTTTTTTCATATTTCTTCATCCTCTTGATTGAGAATCTTTCCAGCCCGACATAACTTAACATATACACCATTTCGCGACCATCCGTACCAACTGTCTGTATGAATCGTTTATTGCAGTAGGGTGAGGAGAAGTATAACAAAGACCATGAGTTCGGCATACAAAGGAGCTCAACAGAGATGTATTTCTCTTGCGCCATGGACCATAGGAACTGTGAGAAAGGGCCAATGTCTGTAGTTGATTCACTGGTTAGCTTCAACTCGTGCAGACATTGACTTCGATCTTGTCAACGGCGATTATACTTACAAGATATTTCCTGGTTATTTAACTAAAAGGAAATCCAGAGAGCTTATCCTGGACACTAACGTACCATGCATTAGAATCAGCAAGTAAGATATCCATCTGAAACCTCAAATAAATTCTCCATTCGAATTTCCCCTTTGAGAAACAGTCTTGGAAAGTTTGTGACCATTTCTGCAACACTTACGTTTTTGCCACAGCTTAGCCGGATTTCGACAAAGCTGTCGAAATCCGATGAAATCTAAGCCTGTAAGTGAGTTATGAACGCATCTGTTAATGAGGCTGTACTACTGACTACTAACTTGAAAAGTAGAACCTTCACTAGACTTAGACCCATGGTTTCACAATGACATAACCAATGGGAACCTTATAATAAAAAAGACCCCTTTCGTCCAGTAACCATTTTGAGTTCGTTTCTTGGTCGTGGTGAGGAGTCTCCTGGTAAAGTTTGTAAAGCAATACTTTGTCTGTCCACCCGAAGGAGCAGGTGAGTTCATCGGGGGAAGTTTTCGTATCAAACTCTATAATATGCCAAAGATTGTCCTCTTGAGGTGATAGCCAAACAATTGGAAACCGTCTGACAACGATTCCATTCCTCAAACCCTCACAGTAGACACTACAATCATCTACTTGCATATGGCTCACTATATGGGCTGAAATCAGCTTACCATATCCGCTCCGAACACTGTTTTGCTCGAGGCTGTGAAAATTGTCTCCATCTTCGGCAGGAAGTAGATGCTTCTCACCAACATCATCATGAGTCTCATTTTGCAACAGGGATACTGCAGAAACATTATACTTGGGTTGCTCAGCATCTGGATCTCTTTCACGAGTACTAAGTCTCAGACCGTGAGCAGGAAGGTGAGTCAAAATCGCTCCCAATAGAACGAAGATACATGATAGCATCCTCATAATCATCTCTGGTAATGAACAGTGTGTAACTAGTTGAAGGAGGAAATGAAGAACACAGAAGACCTGAGAATGACAGAGAATGACTTCTCAATGGATGGAGTAGAAAGCATGAAGGTAAACTCTGAGTTCCAGTAACTTTGAATGGTTTGGTTTGATATTAATAGACGATTTGTACATGATATGAATGCTTCAAAAATTTGCGTTTTGAGTTTCATCACAACTCTACCTCTTCAAAAGTGAACCGTAGTAGAATTGAGGTCTCTTTCCATGACTGGGTTCCAGCAAATGAAGTTTTAGTTTCATCACAACTCTACTTCTTCGGATATTTAAACGAGAGTATATATAAGAGTTTCTTTCATGCCTGAGTTCCATTAAATGAAGTTTGAGTTTCATCACAACTCTACCTCTTCAAAAATTGAACCGTAGTAGATTGAATTGAGGGCTCTTTCCATGACTGGGTTCCAGCAAATGAAGTTTTAGTTTCATCACAACTCTACTTCCTCGGATATTTAAACGAGAGTATATATAAGAGTTTCTTTCATTAAATGAAGTTCCAGTTTCACCAAAACTTTACCTCTCAAAAAAATTGAACCGTAGTAGATTTATTTGAGGGCTCTTTCCATGATTAGGTTCCAACAAGTGAAGTTTTAGTTTCATCACAATTCCATCTCTTCAAAAGTGAACCGTAGTAGATTTGAGGGCTCTTTCCATGACTGTATTCGAACAAATGAAGTTCGACTCTTTAGCTATTTCAACTAATAGTCATTTTGATACAAGACATATCTGCTATCACCCTACATGATTTCTATGTTTTAATAATCACAACTCATTCTTTTCTATGTTTTTATTGTATGTCAAACTCCTTAAATTGGAGATCACTCCTTAAATTTATCCATCTGTCCTTGATTTCGACTTTCATGCCCAAAGCGCACGATTGATTTCAATAGGTCAATTGGCGTGTGAGAGTTGATATCAATCTTCTTCCGTCTTTGGAATGATGTCTTAGGTCATTGTCATAAATCGAAACTAGCCCATTGAATAAAAGGTTGGGCAAGGAGACATGATCTGGCCAAGAAACTCCATTTTCCATGAACTCGTTTGGTTTCATCTTCTATTGTTTGTAGGTATGTCTCTCTGGTACATATTATTACATGATGGTTGTTGTCTTACAATAGGAGAAGCTCGAAGCTGGCATGTCAGTGGTCCCAATTCAATAGATTCGCTGCTAGTCAATCTTTCAAGTTGAACGAGCCTCTTCGAATGTCGTGTGAATAAGTTCACATCTAAAGTACTGTAACTTGGAGTTGGACTCAAAACATGAGGATTCGACATCTTGATCACTTCATTTCTCAATGTTCGGTGATTGGATCACCATCAAAATCGGGGTTCAATGCAATTTGGATGGTGTACGAATCACAAGAACTTTGAGAAATCAACATTGACATTAAATTAATCTCTCAGTCGTTGGGACTGGATTACTTTACAATCCCTCCGAGTGCTTGGAAGGAAACATGGTGAGCAAATATTGGAAGGCATTCACACTGTGTGGGCAAGAATGATTCAGAAGCCTCTTCAATCTAGCGAGTTCTAACGTATTCGTTCTTCAATTACGTCGTCATGGTGTACCATTCCTGAACAGGCTGAGCAAATGCATACAGGGAATGCATAAAGGGAGAAGGTAAAATTTCTGCTCGCTCATTCCGCTCAATTTTGGCCATCTTCACAAATTTATTCCTAGAATTCGGCCACATCATATCCAAGTTTTAACAACAGTCTAACGTTTTCTCTTGCAGGACTCCATTGTTGTCGATTCGACTTGACAGTAACCATTTTTGGTTGCAAGGGTGTTTAGACGCATGACATGCTTAAATTTTTCTAATTTTGTGCCTGTGGAACTGGAGGGCAATATGCGTCATGTCCTTATTTTCCTGAATTGAAATTTCATGTCAATCGCCATAAAAGTACGTTTGCAGCACAGGTTTGCGGACAAGTTAAATGAGCCAAGTAACAATGCTCGCAGCCATTCTCATCAGAGTCATGAAATCCCGTCACTTTTTACTGTTAACTTGCATGGAACTTACCAGTACAGAATATAATGGATTAAGCTTAAGAGCTGTATTGACAGACAAATTCCAGTTGACTGAAAACTTCATAAAAAAAGGAAAAGACCTGAATGCGACCTGTGCTACAAACGTAGTTTTTATCAACTACAGATTTCCGCAGCTCTTCACCGAAATCGATAGGCACGTCACAGTATCTACCAAACTAGAGACTTTCTGCATCTCTTACTCAAGACCCAGTGGCGAGTAGCAAGCTTTTGTATTGTAGAGTGGTTCATGATATCCAGAATTAAATTCAATGAAGAACTTTTTTCCACGCTAATGTGAAAGAAAGGTATTCAAGTTACGTGGTTAAAGCACCAAACTCGAATTTTAGACTTGCTGTTGGATAAGTTTAATATGCTCTCTGACAGTACATTTACATCTTGTATCAGAAGCAAGCACATGTAATTATGAAATAATGATGTCGGCAGAAACAAGACAGAAGTTCTATGAAGTTTCCTCTCTCCGGAAGATGCAAGTATTTCTGTTAGGCTTGTCTGAGTTTGTACTGGCAGAATTCAACAAATTATCAGCCCCTTGTATTAGCGAGGCGAAATTGTGAAGTTTACACAGTTCTCGTTATGAACAAGTTTGTTTGTGGGCAAAAATGCAAGGGTACTTAAAGATCAGTACAAGATCTCGAGGAATTGATTGTAGAACAATGTGGGCAAAAATGCAAGGATACTTAAAGATCAGTACAAGATCTCGAGGAATTGATTGTAGAACAATGTGCATGGCATCATGGAAGCGTGTAACCAAAGAGGGATTGACACTCGTCTCTAATCTCATTCGACATTTCTAATCTCTAATTGACATTTCGTCCTTCAAGCCCGGGAACGATCGGCTCTGCGGGGCCCCGGTCGAGACCACTTGTGCGGCGCAAGACAGCGACGCAAGCGGAAGCTCGGCCACACTCGGGGCTCCGCCGTTCGAGCTCCTGGATGGTACATTCTGGCGGGCCTAAATAAAAGGATTTTGAGTGATTAGTAGCAAGTAGGATGGTTGGCCGTCCTTCTCATTGCTCTAGTCACACAGACTAGAAGAATTTTCTAGTCTGTGTGACCGAGGAGATGCACCTTAATAATCGAGATAGGACTGCAGTGAATGGCTTACAAATTTTAATTCTTGGATGTCTAGAGTCGTTCCATACAGAAACTCCAGCTGGCCATTAGAATTCAATCGATTTGAAGAATTTACTGTTGCATGATAGTCTCTAACTACTACACAATGAAATTTATCTGCTTTGAATGACATGCACAATACAAGGCCTACATTCTAACATCTGACATGACACAAGGCCTTCTAGCTCGAGGAGCTGAACCAGTAAATGGAGGAAAAATTCCAGCTCCCACTACCCTACTCATAAAAACCTACTAGAGAAAACCTATAGTTAATGCTCTTGAATGTTTTATGCTTCCCTAGTGACAATATTTAACTTCAAGATTTCTAAATATTCCAGACGAAAAATCCTACCACATGTAGTAATTAAAACTCCTTCTGCATCGTCAACGCAGAAGAGTAAACCGCATCATGACTGAGCTTGGTTGTGTTGATTAGTGCACATTTTGTCCTTGATCTCAAATTCAATTTGGCCTTTGTTTAGTTGTATTAAGGTCCGGTTCCCAAGGTCCATACCAAATACTTCAGTGGATTCGTGAGAAAATTCGAATATTTGCTTGTGGCATGCACTTAGAATTTCTGACACGAAATGGAAATATGTGCGAAGCCAATCAATGGTTGCTCTCTTTGATGCTTTTAAAGCCAACTCCCTCCACATCTGCGGGTGATTATTATCGGTTTCATTGACAGGAGCTTACCTTGTTGAGCAACTGAGTTAGTACCGTGATCGTTCAGGTTTATGCCGTCTAGAAGATATATTTGGAGTAATACTATCATCTGTACATGATACACACCCTGGAACTTCCAAGGACATAGATTTCAAGCAGCAACCTGAAGAGTGACTGCATTGCAAATTGCTCATTGTAGAGCTGGTCAGGAATTCTAATTACCTATATGCAACGATGAAACCAATATAGAAACTGCTCTGAAAAGTCCACACTTTTTTTCTCCTCTTTACCACAAACGAAATGTCTGCGCAGGTTGCAGATACGGAATCTGTTGAAATCTCGATAGTGATCCGATCACCACTATTGACATGTTGCATCATTTGTAAAGTGATCGCCGCGAACAGGTAATTGATGCTGATCGCGTGCTTGGCTCGTGGATGACCCGAAAGCTCCACAAACGTGAAAAGTAAACATTCAGTTGTCTTCAGTAAACATCAGTTTATTTCCATATTTATCCTCTTAATATACTAACTAAATTGTATTGTAGTTGTACCATGTGCATATAATAAGAGGGCAAAAATTTAGTCTAATAACACATTATTTTGAATTTAGAGAATATATTATTTTACAATTCTATGTTTATGAATTTCAAACGTATATAATCTTTTCTAAGACTAATTTGATCAATTATGAATCCTAATATAATCATGATACAACGTAAATGTTTTGATCTATTGTATCAAATATTAAAAAAATGGAATAAAGATAATATCATCATTGAAGCATCTTTAAACGAGAAATATTAGAGAGCATACTATTGTAAATAAAATTAACTTTGATCAAGATTCTCATTTGATTTTTTAGAATCACAACACATTTTCAACTATAGCGTTTCTGTATCCATAAAATAAGATGAACTGGATTGGATGCGTATTTGAATTACCTTCGAAAAAACATAAATTCATGATATCAATTATGTAAACATAGTTTTCAGCAAAAAATATAGTATAGTATTTAAAACTGCATTAAAAAATTGAGATAGCAATACCATAAATATTGCAAAATAGTGGTTTTTTTATCAAGAATACATCTCATTGTAAATTAAAAAAGTCAAAAGTTATTTCTAGTTATATTATTTTAGAAAATTTCTGATTCACTTCACATGAGATAAAATAATTAGAGAAATTCTTTATAGATTTTTTCCACAAACGATTATCATAATGTTTGTAGTTGTGACTTCATATTACTTTATTCTCTTACGCCTGAATTTTTTTCTTAAGTATGAAACGTATTAACTCAAAGATAGCAACATCTGTTGGCTTTTTTTCTAATGACCATGATGTGTAAAAAACATTTGGGCAATCATAAGGATGCTGATCATAAAGTGGATAATTATGAAAAGCTGCTTATCATGAAAAGCCATCCAAATACATAAAGTGCTTTTTATAAAGTGGGTATGCTTTGTAAGTCTCTGATGATATCTCGAGAGTTAACAAATATGAAGATTGATTAGAATCCAAAGAAGAAAATTAGAATAAAGCCTCCTTTGCTGATTTGATTTTCGGTCTGAGTTTGAAGGAAATCCCATGCTGTCGCGCATGAGTTTAACACCGATAGAATGACACTGGTGGACAAATGGGACAGGTTTTTATCCTCTCGTTGTGTCTACGGTCTGATTTGTAATGGGCTAACGACAATGAATTAGTTACTGAAGATATTGCTTCAAAATCAGCCTGTCACTGTAAGGAAAGAATGTTTTTTATCTTCGTGTGAGGTGATGATTTATCTTTCTAATTTTCACCGAGTAAAACCTTCCCAATCCATGATCCAATCTTTCAGTTTTAATCTTCGCAATTTTTTACGAATTTGTTTTGTTCGAGGTCATAACCTAGCACTTTACAACCTCGAAATGGGGCCAGGGGAATACAGTAATTTCCTGCTTTGGCCATCCTGTAACACGGGGCACCGCCCAATGGTAAAGAAGGTATCTCACTGCACGCGATTCCTCTTGGTGCTCCTCGTTTAGAGACTAATGTGGTGGTCGCACGTCGGTTCTAACATGACAGTTTTTATTATTTTACTGGTCTCGGCTAGAAGCACAACTAAAACATCGTTCCTGGTTCTGAGTTATTTTGGAAATATGGTATGATTTTGTGTCATGGTCTTGCCGTCTCTCTGTACGCATTGTTGTCCCAGGTGGACGGGAATTCAGGGAAGGGGGGAATTCAACCAAACGTGCGGTCGATGCTTTGAACTTGGTAAGGAAAGGAAAATCGTAACGCAGACATTAATCTGTACTTCCCAAATATCCCACCCTCATGGATGCCGGGAGCGACTTGAAATTCGGCAGAGAAGAACGAGCACAGTGAGCAACTGCTTACGACGCACCCTTTGTCGAGGACGAACGAAAATTATGCTTCACGTATATAGAGTTTAGGGGAAGAAAGGAATGGCGGTGGGCACAACATGTCCTGCTTAACAACCTGAAGCTCCGCGGGTAGTCGAAGCTTACAGATGGTAGAAGCGCCGTCCTGGAAGCTACCGCACTCCATATTCCCCCTTCGCTCGATGACAAAGTCGTCCTTCTTGACGTCATCTTCCTTCTTGAAGTCGTCGTTCCAGCGTATGGATCCAAGCGTATGGAACCGCAAGAGCTTGCTTGCAAAATCGTATATAGGCGAGCATCTGTTGGATTTGTAAGCATGGATCGCTCCGTTACATCTCGGTGGCGTAAGAATGAAACTTGAGCGCTCGGGATCGTTCGTATGCTCAAGTAAGAAGGCCATCTATTTACAGGGAGGGTCTCAGACCCATCTCTCGGTCTCTCGGGCTGGGTGACGTGAGCGAGGCTCGTAAAACTAGCGGCCTTTCGAACTCCGGATTGACAGCGACAGCATGGAGAGAAGTCATGGGATGTCAACTGTGGCCCTGTTTCTCAGTGCCCTGTGTATCGTCTCGTCGGGATGCTGCAGCCCTGTGAACGCCATGAAGATGAAGAAAGTCAACTTCACGTACTACTTGCACGACGATTTCGTGCCGCCAGACGTCACCGCTGTAGCAGTGGCCGGCGCCAACGCCAGTGTCACGGGCCCATCTGCACTCGGCGATGTCACCGTCTTCGACAGCATTCTGAGGGAGACAGCTTCCAATGCTTCAGCTCAGATCGGGCACCACTCGGGCTTACTAGTATCGCTCAGTGATCCACGAGAGAAGTTCATTACCTTCGTGACTTCGATCACCATCCCCGGCTACTCTGGAACCTTGTCAGGCTCCTGCAGGATCAACTTCACCGCCCCATCTTGGGAGGAGGCAATCAACTCTGGCACGGGCTCCTTCGAAGGAGCAAGAGGCCACTTGACAGTCAGCGCCGTCTCTCTCACTCCAACTTTCCCCGTTCTCAAGTACAAAGCATATCTGATACTTCCTCATCACTAGAGCTCATCTCATCATTTGCAAGGCATTCGAACGGAGCAACGGTAAGTGTTGTCAGTAAGAACCAGGTTCGATAAATGTGTGCATGACGATCATGGCCCTGCAGTGAAGGAAGTTTATATTTTGACTCGAAGCAGCACCTCGTTGCGTGTTACGTGTTCTCCTGGCTCGGTTGAATTATGAGTGAGAAAGAGAGGGAAGGAGACCACTGGACTCCATGCTAAAACTAAAATGTCTAGAATCTTGTGCAACGATGTACCATTGCACCAATGTTTTATTCTTAGGTAAATAGTATTGTGAAAATACAAACATATCAAAGTAAAAAGAATGTTGATTATCGATTGGACTTGTTGGAATTGGCCTGTTTGGATGAAATCGAGGGGGACTCTCTAAGATTGATTGCTTTGACAGCTGCGGACATATCGTTGCTACGACTTCATCGTACATACATCATGAACATAAATAGACTGTACACCAAGGTATGGATTTTATTTGTTGGGTCAGAAAGTATTGTGAGAGGAGGGGATGATGGTTTTTTGAAATAATGAAAAAGAAAGCAATATGAAGATGTTTGCGGAGGGTTCTACTTACATACCCGGATCTGGGATTTGATTTTTCTTGAATAACCAAAGGCAGCTAAAGTCAAAGCGAAAGATGTTGTTCAAGCCATATGTTTCAAGAGATCCAAGACCAAGTGTGCAATTACGAGGATCTAGAGCAGAAAGTAGAATGGTCAAATATTACTACATGTGATAGTATCGGTGAGTTTCCATTCCAGTTTCCATGAGTTTCCTTCTGCAAGTCACCCGTAATTAATTTTGTTTCAAGAGCCTCGAGATATAGTGAGTTCTTCTGATAACTGAATAAAGCTTCACGTACAGAGCAGATGTTTTTGTAATAAAACAATACCAATTTGACACCTCTATTCAAGTCATTGTTTCTCAAATTCTCCCACGTTTCACAAAATCTGCATGACATTACTTTCGCTAAATGTATTGCAGATACCAACCAGAAACTATGATATGTCGAAGATAAGTTCCTTCATTTAAGTTGCTAACCACTTTTGAGGTCAAGATTGTATAGCAAAAGGTATGAAGTTGTGACTTTAGCTCAACAAATATATTTCTTCCTCTAAATGTATGACTTAGAAACATAAAAATAAATACTGTGATGGATACATAAAATGTTCCAAAATTATGGAAATGAAATTCCCAAAAGAATTGGAAAGATTTTATCACTCAATCCTATCCCACTACAGGAATCAAGAGTCTAAATAGTGGAACTGCAGTTGACATGCCTTGTATTTACCCAGCCACATTCCACGTCATTGGTTGATTATATTCATTAGAGACCGAACTAAAGTTTTCTGCTGGGGCTCCGCAGAACTCAATTGGCGTTTCCACCTTGTATACGGTTGAAGACATTCCTATTTCAGATCTATGAATATTACAAAGCAATAGCACCGGTCCAACAGTGCTATTAATAATCAGGACTTTCAAAGCTAAAAGATCGTCAAATCAGAGCACAATGCTCACCTTATATACCTGAATCGCAGTGCTGCCGCCTCGTCATTGGGTCCTCCAGATTGATAAGTCTGATGGTATGCCCCGACTATTTTGAACCTAAAATCGATGTCGGAAGGTATTTCCAACGAACCGTTATGTGGAACTCTGATGACATGACCCGGCGGCTGCGTTCTGTCATCTTCTTAGCGCTTGCCTCCATCCGTCTGTGATGATAGGCCCACATGATTGACACGTTCACGATAAATTGATGCCCGCTCCATGAAGACAGATACTCTGATCATTGACGATCGGAGCACGAACTCCATGACAACCTTCGATGAAACTCTCGTCCTCTGGTCGCTCATGGAGAACTTGAATAGACTTCCGAAGGAGAGCTGACTGAAGAGGGACCCTAAAACGTAAGTTATGACAGAGCGCTGATCGCGTCGGCGACACAGGAAGTGATCACAAGAACCAGAAGAATTATCGACAAGGGCCAGATGGTTGGGACAATATGAGAAGTGATGGAAAACACACTTTGGTTACTTTCAAATGGCCTCTACGAACCGAGCAGATGTAAAAGTTGATACCTTCACAGAATAAATCTATTCTAAAAAGACCGACACGGGTGGAGTTTCGCTCATAACCCTTCAAGAGCCTCCAAGTTTACCCCATGGTGATTCCATGCAGGTCTCCTTTTCTAGCGGTCGATGAATCTCATCACTGACAACAACTTCCTCTACGAGAGTCAAATGTGTTGAAGATCGTTCTACAAAGCCTGGAATACTGTGCTCTGTTAAGAGGTAAATACAGCGGTATCTGCAATCTAGCTAGCTAGATCAGGTTTCAAGTTTGATCTCCAAATCTGTTGTGTTGCATTCTTTGCATTGGAGATCTTTCACTATTATATGAAGCGTGTTTTGTAGTCGAATAAAATCGATTAGTTATACAGCTTGACCTTCTGTATCATGAGTACATGGAGATCTCAGGAACTTGGGATATTCCATTCACTTTGGTTGTTTCTGAAACAGCAGTTTAAGGACCTGAGGAGCTGTTGATGGACAATATGTCAGATTATACAAACGTGACTTATGATCTGGATGAGAGGGAAGCTTTCAGGGAGAACATTCTGAGCTCTCTTAGATCGGGAAGACTGTTAGTAAAAAATAAAGCAGGCGGATCAGTGGCTACCTTTAGATGTCCTTTCTGCACAAAGCGAAAGACGCAATGCTTTCTTTACAAAGACATTCTGCAACACGCCGAGGCTATGGCGAGAAGCAGTACTAAGGGCACAACAGAGCAGACCGAACACGTTGCTCTGGTATCCTACTTAAAGACAGATCTCGCGCAAATGTCCAGTCCTCCTCCTTTCCGAGCTCCCCAGATGCAGCTGACTACGAAGGCCCCCGAGAGAGAAGAGCTCATAGCTCAAGACCTTCTGTTATGTCCATGGTCGATGGTTATTCACAACCTTCAGACAACGGTCAGCGTCGAGGGAATTATCGTGGGCCCCTCGGTGCGCGATGTAAAGTGCTCCTTTGAGACTTTCGGGCCTAAGAAAGTTCACGTGATCTGGGGACCTAAAGGACATGCGGGTATCGGCGTTATCACCTTCTCCAGAGATTTTAACGGCTGGAGGAATGCTCAAGCATTTGAGAGATGGTTTAGAGACCGACAGCATGGCAGAAACGATTGGCAGAAGATTAGAGATTGTAATTTGCCCAAGGATGCCGAGCCTTATGGATGGCTTGCCCGGAAGGAAGATTATTACGGCAGGAACGAGGTCAAGGATGACCATCTGGTCGCTAAATTTCTGCAAAGCAGAGGTCCTTTGGATCTCAAAGATATCGGAATGATAGGTGATGATTTGAAGAATATGCACGAGCAGCGATATCAACACCTTGCTGAAGAACTGCTGGAGAAGACCTCAGACTTCCATCACCTCCTGGAGGAAGTAGAGCTTACGAAGAGAAGTGCGGAAAGTATGATTGCTCGACTAGAGGAAAAGCACAAGCAAGGTACTTATGTATACACTCCATAACAGTATTGTTCAAGAAGAATCTGCAAACCATCGTGTGGCATGATTGGTGTAGCCTGTAGACCGTCTTCCACACACTAGAACAATTACCGTTCGCGATCGCAGGCTGAAGTTTTTTCAATGAGTTAGAGTTCAGACCCTGAACACTGCCAACCTCGCGGAATGCAGAGCTCGACCAGGTGCTTTCAAAAGCTAACTTCTCTACTCAGGAGCACATAACACAGATGAGAGCTCTGAATACGATGATGCAATCGTCGATGGAGAAACTCAAATGTAGATGCCAAGACCTGAGGGAAAGAGAGAAGTTACCTCAAAGTGAAGGAGAGAGGATTCAACTGGAACAAGCTAAATTAGAAGTACACACTGGATTACACGGCTTCATTTCCACATGTCTTTCTCCTTCAGCATGTCTTTTATCGTATCACAATGTCCACTGTACCTGAAGCTTTGGAATCCATGAAACCCAGAGTAATTTTCAGAACATTTGCAAATATGTGAATAATCATGTGTTTTGTGCAGAACCAAAGGAAGCTGGATGTTGTCAACCAACAAGCAGAAATTCAGAAAAAACATCAAGCTTTCCAAATGGCGCTTATAAGGAAGCATGAGGTAAGTCGTCCGAGACAGTATCCGCTGCATTCAACTCACGCTTAGAGAATAGCTTTGCTCTTTCTCCGTATTCAAAAATAAGAGAGAACGCGCGATTGTTTCTATGGGCGCTGATAGCCCTCTTCAAAGTTCATGATTTTGAGTAGAAAAGCGATACTTAACGAGAAGCCGGAGCTCATACCTACTTGTCTTCCAGCGTGTACTGAGATTCACAACAAAATATGTCTGAGATCTGTCTTCTATCCATCTCAAATGACAGATGGAAAATGAGCACCTAGCAGAGTGGATACAATTCAAGAAGATGTCCCTGGCCAAAAAACACCTGATGGAGCTTGAGAATCAAAGGCTGGATGAGATGCGAGAAAGCAAGAAATTCTTACAGCTTGCTCATTCCATCGAAGATCCAGAATATTTATCGGACAAAGGAGTCATGAATCTGGAGGAAAAAATCGACTTGATCGAGAAACAGAAGGCTGAACTGATCGAGGAGCTGGAAGAATTAAAAGTAGACAACGACGCACATAATGAAACAATCATGGCTTTGGCAAGGAGAGAAAGACTTGCCAATGATGAAGTACAGGAAGCTAGGCAAGCAGCAGAACTGGTACTTATTTGCTTCTCACGATTGTCCATTCGGTTGCAGAATAATAGCTTGCGAGCCTTATCCACGGGTCAAACATCAGAGATCAGATATTTACAGGCGGCAGAATCTAGCTGTGTTTCTCTCAGTCAATCATGACTTCTCTATCTGCTGTCCCTAACCTTTTTCCAGCATCGTTGTTGTCTTCTGTTGGCGGGACTGTCGTCTGCAGCACACTTCCACTAGGCTTTGACCATTGGCGAGAGCGACAAGGACTCTCGCCGGCCATGCAGCTACTTTATTTTCACAGCAGTTTCTAAACGTCAGATTTAGAAACTGCTGTGGAAAGTCAGATTCAGATTAAAACCATAAATTAAGTCGCATCCTTCTTCTTCTTCTTCTTCATGTCTAGTTTTCCTTCAACTGCTCATCAGATGCTTCCTGGCAGAAAATTGTTAGCTTAGCACAAAACAGAAGCTTCAGATCAGTTTCTTCATGTCTGTCGATCAGTTTCTCAATGGATTACCTTTAGGAATTGCCTCATACATGCGGATCCAGGCTGATTAGGCACAAGTACAAAGTCCAGATCCTCTGCTGTGAGGAAATCTGATGTTCTCAGCATCTGATCCCATAGGGTTCTGGGACTGAACGGGGAACTTTCTGATGATAATCTCCATAACTTGCGCAGGCAATCGGGGAGATCGGAACTCCAAGCACACTCTATATCAGGAAAATGGGTGAGATAGATGAAGGTCCTTGGAGAGAAGCATGCCAGCAGCGCTACGAAAATCATAAAGACGGCTGGGAGACGGTTTTCAGAAAGAAATATTCTCGTTGGGAAGAGACTGTCAGAAATCCCAGTTTCGCTCCATTTAAGTACGCTTCGGTGGGTGGAAACAGTGAGGTACTGAGCCATCAGCTATGGCTTCTGCTGAGACACACTTCGCATACTAACGGGCTTTGCATCAGAATCTGATGTTTTCTTTTAGTAGAGCCCTGCTAAGACTGGAGGTCTGATGTCATTTTGTTCCCATTCTCACCGCAGAGACAGATTCAGTTCGATTACAGCGACAAGAAGCTGCTGAAACTCCAGGAGACTCTGGGTGACGAGGTCGTGAGAACAGTAGTCCGAGCTCTCGAAGAGATCGAGGAATTCAATTCCTGTGGTCGATACCCCGTGCCGAGGATCTGGAATGCCAAAGAAGGCAGAATCGCAACTTTGAAAGAAGTGATTCGTCACTTGCATTGTTTATTGAAACAGACCAAGCGCAAGAAGCGGTCTAGATCCAATGCCAATGCTCACTCAGCACAAGCCGCACCATCGCTTTTGCCCATGCAAACAAACGACCCGTTTTGATTCTAGTCTTCCTCGTAGGCACGTTCTTCTTGTCTGAAATCATTGTCTTCTGCATCAACGACTGTGACATCTTAGAGAACCCCTTGAGATCATTCTAACACTTTCTCAGTTCTCGTTATCTGCTTGAAGAGCAAAATTCCATTACCCGTCTCGTAAGAGTTTTGTATAGATAATGGAACATTTGGAGTGGCACGAACCCAGAAAATTGGACCTTCGCCAACGGGTGATCCTTTTGAGGAGCATCCGTCAAATCACACTAATATTATCCGGCAACCGAACTTCTCTTCGTACCAGATCTCTCAGAGGAAGGACAAAACTCAAGTCGCTGGTTGGAAAATTACGAGATAATCTTTGATGGTTTCAGTTCAAACAGACCGTTAATCTGAACCAGTACGAAGGAACACAGTACAGTATGCACAATAAATATAGTTCGATGAGTATAAATCATCGGTCGGTCGGTCGGCAAAGCTACTCTGAAATGCTTTCGGGCATAATATATATATATATATATATATGAATGTCACGTCCATACTCCACATTCTCTCATCGGAGGCTGAAATAAATAACATTCTCTCTGCACGAAACTTATATAACGATATGGCTGCGGAGAGTGCTAGCACTGTCTCCTGCCGCACGCTACATCTCGGGCTATGGTCTCGGTGCATGCTCTAAATTTTGCAGCCAGTCTTCTTCGGCTTCCATTGTTGTTTTCATGGGTTCCTCGTCGCATGGTATGCACTCGATTTAAACTTGTCCTCGCCGCCTTAATTTCGATGGTGCTCAGCGTCAGCAGAAGATTAGAGCTTGTCCTGACTGCAGCGAGCATCGCTGTACTCAGGTCGTGGTTCCGAGACAATGCTTGAGAGTTTGCTCCAAATATGAACACAAATGAATTCGAGCCGTGCGGCCTCCCTCCGTCACAAGACTCCGCAGGAAGTGAACATCTTCGTGAGAATGTCGTGTGAGCTGTGGATGGGATGTGGGTCACGGATATCAGCCATCAGATTGGGTGCACTGTAATTATATGTTCGCTCTTCTCGACCGAAAGAGCACTGAAGACGAACGCAGTTGGATCTGGGATGCTGCTGCTATTGCTGCTTAATGGCGGAGGTTGAGACTTGGTTTCTCGTCCGTCCAAAGGCTTGTCCCTCTGCTTTGAATATCACTCAATGACTCTCTGAACATTTCCAGCCATCTTCTTCATACGAGCTGGAGAGAGAACCTCGCCCCGGTACTCAATGATCCCTCGAGTCTGCTGCCTGTCGACGGATTGGCGTTCCGATCTTTCTGCAGCTGCGGCGGAGGAAGAGGTAAAGGAGATGCGAGGTATTGAGAATTCGATCCGGAGCGGTGCCTGCGCTGCTCGTACACGTGCAGAGCATCCCGCTTTCGGTGCCAAAGCCAGCAGCAGCAGCACTTTGGCCTCGAAATCATCACTTTTCCCGGCGCCGGCACCAGAGAGGACCCACTTCGAGGACTGTCAGAGAAGGATCGCATCTTCACCAATTTCATGCATGGACGACATGATCGATTCTTGGAAGGACCTCTGAAAAGCGGAGACTTGGCAGCAGAAGTGCACAGATTGGATCGTGAGTGAGATGAAAAGAGCGGTCTTAGGGGAAGATGAGGTTTTAGGTGGTCATTCATGCAAGGTCTCGGAAGGGCGGCCCTCGTACTTTGGGGTTAACGCTGAAGAAAGCGAGCCCGGAGCTTGAAAAGATTGGGAGATCGTGATCCGCGATCGAGGGATGTGTTACATACATTCGCCTGCGAGGAGCAGGCCGTGTCCTTGAGAGGCTAGATTGCCACAATGAGGGCTCTGGATTAAGCCAATGCCGCCGTGTGCATCAGCAAGTTTGCGGGTCTTGATACGATTTTGCCTACACCTTCACTTCACTGCTGGAGCTTATATCTGCGAAGAAAAGCTTGGCTTCTCGAGAGCTTGGATGTTCCTTTCTGTATTTGTTGTCCTTCATGTTTCCTGATCTGATTACCTGTACTAAAAAGTACCTCTTTTGAGATTACTGTCTCTTATTCTATGAATCAATAAAAAAATCTACATTCTTGGACTAAAACAAGTTCTTGTTCAGTTCACTCCGTCACTAGCAGCCGAAGTGGCAGCTCTGTTGTTCCCTTTAAATACCGAGTGATTCTGAACAGCCGTTTGACTTCAGGGGACGCCTGCCTCACTACCTCCCACAGCAAAGGACTTTTGATTATTTGCTCCAAACGAATCAAATTACAGTCCAGTGAATTTTAAGCGATTAGTCCCAATAAGACCGGATGCAAGGTAGCAAGGTCATCCGGTGATCTTAGACATCAAGTATGGGTCAACCCCTCCTCTTGAACTAGATAAGATAAACTGGGTGAAGTTCTTACCAATACTATGAAGTTCTTTGTTCTTGATCAGGCTGTGCCCAGACCACTGACTTCTGGCTTTGTGACAGTAGCACAGTGTCATGCATTGCGTGTCTTCAGATGTACGTCAGGAAGAAACTTGCATACTCTTATCATGTTTCTTCAACTCTTCCTTCAGTATCAAGAATCATCATCTGGAGCCAAGAATTCGTATAGATCTGGATATAAACTGTCCATCAGTGAAAGACTAGGACAGTACTAACTTCTTAAAATTGCTGTGTTCTCTGGAGGATATTGAAATTCTACATAGCTTTCAACTGTGATCACAATGTCATCAGAATTTGATGACATGGTCTGAGCGTTGACACCTTCCTTTGTTATGGTTTAGGGATGCTGCCCACGGATGGTGCTGTACACTCTTCAGAGCCTCACGTGAGAGAAGGTAGGGTAGATTGGTGATGCTTGTTTTACGCCTCTTGTTATCACCAACTAATTATCTGCATGTACAGTAGTAGACATAGTCTCGGTTAGAGAAAAGTGTTTTATCACGAGAGAGATCACATCTCTCCTTTATTCACATCTCTCTCATCTATTATTTTGGGCCCCAGTAGGTTCTTTTCCTGCATACTTTGGCTTTTGATTTGTTACTCGATCAATCAATGTGATGGCATGGCATATTTTATTCCAAGAGTCTCCCGAATTATCTGCATTCTCTTCTTCAACAGGAACTGAAGAATGCAACGTGGGCTACATCGCAGTGAGTTGAATTACATGATCATTTCGCAAAAGAGAAGAATTTCCATCACCAAGACATGCATGAGTAATGTTTTCGCAGAGATAAATCTGTTACCAGATTTAGGGATCTCTGCGAAAACATTACAGACTCCAAAAGTGAGGTACCATTCAAAGGGTGGCATCCTCAATACGCGCAAAATCTTCTAAAAAAGGGAAATGCCAGTGTGCAGTGCAGATACAGTAGCTAGTTACGAACTTTGCACCTTTCTTATTTTGCTACACCAGATCAAACGACTGTGCACTTAAGCGCATTTGATCTGTCACCGATAGCTCTACCGCACATCTTGTAGCTACTCTCGCAAGTAGTCCTATAATGGGTTGGATAGTGTGTAATCATTAGATCCAATGGGATATAGCATTGAATATGGGGACAGATAATTTCAAATTGACCAGGTTGACAAAATGATGAGGCCTAAATACCGGTCAAGACGTCAATAATCAGTAAGTTCATTACAAAATCTAGAATTTTACCCAAGCACTTGTATTTATTGCCTTGGAGATGTGGTAAAGTGAAATGTGGAAAAACTTGTAATGAGATTTTATACCATGTCAAATCTTAGTGCTACATCATGCTTTGTGTGAGACAGAAATGGGTAGTATGAATTAAAATATACCCTCCTCCATTGTGTTCACATTATTGGATTTTAGTCTATGACTTGGCAATATCCAAGTTACGTGTGTGCAAGATTTGTTTGGAAATATAATAATGTTTGAAGTCTTAATTGTAGTGTGACTTTCACTTATATCTGAAGCAGGATGAGATTGTGAAGCATGTGACATATTAGATCAAAAGATAGCTAGAAAATCTATCATATTTGGAATTAATAAAATTTAAGAAAATTAATTATGAAATGATGAGCAAGGTGGTGATGATTTCAAGATACGCAAAACCTTGCTCATCATGGCAAAATAAATCTGAATTTTGCTTTATGTTCATGCCTTAGTCTGGTACATGGTGTTGTGTTGTTACACAACTACTAGTATGAAATGTGTTGTCATATAGTTTATTGATATGCTAATTTGATTTCAGGTCAAAGAAGAACTGTTATCATTATTGTTCAGGAAATCACAAGAAATCTCAGACAGGGAAAAATTAGAGAGAAGACCTACACCCAGTATAAGTAGTTCGCCCTTTGGGTTTGTATCTAAATTATGTTTGGCGCGATGAGCAAACTCGCCACGCTAAATAGTATATTAAGACTGCAGAATCCTAACCATATTTTCCAGGTGCACTTATCCTCCGTATCACCTATGGATTAAAAAGAATGCCAAAACCATGACTGACGGTTTAGGAGTTTAGAGTTCTGCTGACTTGAATTATCGCTAACAATCATAAGGTCATGGAGAGGTTGTAACTGTATCTATCTTGAAGGTTAGAGGTGATGACAAGTATCTAACACGTAAAATTTTGGACCATATTGACCTTATGCATAATCTATAGCGTTGCTTTATCATGATGATAATGAAGTGAGTGTGTTTTGAAATAGCTTCATTCATTTCCACAGATGATGTAAAAAACGTGAGATATGTTTTTGAACGTGATTCGTATAGAGTTTCGTGAAACTATATGTTTCAAAAAAAAAATAAAAAAAATTTAGGATCTGAAAATGTTTCATACTTCTTTTTAACAACGTAAATTGAAGTATCAACATAATCATATTGCTTTAGTCTAGATACTACTGGTTTGATCTTGCAGATTGATCGAATTTGTGATACTTGAATTTGAATCAATCATTATTTATATTCTAGAGCATGTCAATACTTCAGAATTCTTACTATCAGAGAGAAGAGAAATATTTCAGATTTATAAAGTTTTCATGTTATTTATAACTTCATTTATATTTTTCACATTAAGATTTTCAGTTCTCTTTTCTATAAAAATTATTTTAATGGAAGATTTTTTTACTTGGAGTTAAAATTTTAAAACAACTCATAATTTATTTGCTGTCACTGAGGATTAAAATAAAAGAATTCATTTTATTGATAGAGAAGTAAAAAATTTGACAGCTTTTTGTTGTTTTTTAAGATTTTTGAAATATGTTTTGAAAGAAACTAACAAGATTAGAGATTTGATACGAAAAATTACTTATAATAAGAAATTTTGAATAATTATATATTAAAATATATTTTTATTTTACAAAATTGGCTGTAAAATTGCTTCGTATGTTTGATAATATTAAAAAATTGAAATTTTGAACAATAACATTTTCTCATCAAGATTCCAATTCAGAATTCATTGATAGTTACTATCTGAAATGAATTGTATTATTATGAGAAAAATATTGTAACTAATTATAACCCATATAGTGAAATTTTCAATACTATATTTCTTCTCATGAACTTAATATAATATCCATAAGTTTTACTACAAAAGTCATGGAATAAATAATATTCCCAAAATATCTATAATAACATATGATAACGTGAAGTACTTGATTAGTTGAAACAATATTTATAGAATTATGATGGATTTTGTAAACTGAAATCTGCTTATTATTGTATCGTACATTAAATGGCTTGAAAAAATGTTTGAAAGTCTGAAAACTGAACATTTTGGAAAATTAATAGGAATAAAATGTAATATCTTTTGTGAATTATGACAAAAGGTTAACGATTCAATTACTTGATGTCATAATATTCAAATTTTTGAATTTTAGCAATAAAAATATGAGTAATGATGATCATAAAATTTGAATAAAAGTCAAGAAATGTCCAAAAAAATATTTCATATATCAAGCTTCAAGAGATTGATTTTAGAACAACATAATTCAAGCTTCAACGGTTTAATAATGATCGCGCAAAAACATCATTTGACAAATTGTCCATGTAGATTTTATGATATTTGTGATTGAATCAACTTATGTACAAACTATTATGTTAAATTGTGAACTTTTCTTATTAAAAATATCACATATTTTGTATTTCAAGAAGTACAATTTTTGTCATTTTGATGTCTAGTGGGTTAGAAAGATGGCAATTAGCGAAAAAAAAAATGAACATTTCATGATTTGTAATGCCCATAAGCAACTAAACGACGGACTATTTTTGCATAGAGCTTTTCATTTTTAGACACATAAGACATATTTACTGCTATGAACTCAATGACTATTTGATACTACATTATACTAATCCAATGATTTATTCACGTTACATTTTTGTCTAAGTATGAGTATCTATGTGACAAGATGTTTAATATGACTGTGATATTTATGCATTTAACTAGGAAGAAAAATTTAGCATCATTAAGATCGATTATGGACATGTTGTCGATCTTTCTCAATTAATCGACTGACATAATTATTGACCTTATTGTGACTATGTGCAGCAGGGATGAATAAGACGTTCTTAAAATATATTAATCTTCAACAATCAACAGGATACCACAGCATTTTATGTGCATCATTGAGCTATTGTGTATCTGATGACTAGTACATCTTCCAGCGACCTGAATATTCACTAATTATTGATCAGTATTTCATGAGAAAATATAAAGACTTTTATCCCATAAATAATTAAGTACATATACATTTTCTTTTCTACCCACTCAGAACAAAAAAGCCAACATATTATAAACTTCACCAACAACTCTTGTAAAAACGTTAAGATACTACACAAATAATGTAGGATCAATTTCAACCTATCATCGAACTTATATGGCGCTGTGATGAACTTGTCAGAAAAAAGTGAAACCTTGTGGTATTAGTCTTAGATATGAAATGTCACACACTTTTGTAATATCGGAAACACATTTACGAAGGAATAAAAGGGGCAGGGGCTGGGGAGATAGGAGGTTTATGAAATGGACCTCCTCCTACTTATTGCACATTCAAGCTTTG